AGAAGATGTGAAAATTATGAAATATTATTTTGGACATTAATAACTGTATGTTTCTATTTATTTTTCTTCAACAAAAATAAATTAGAAATCAAGAGAAAACAGTAATAGAAATGCATGAAACTTCACGAAACGTTTTCACTCAGTGCATAGGTGGTATCCGTAATTTACTAGGATTTATTGACCATAAAAAGTATTTTATATGAATTATTACTCTATTTTCTTGCAAAAATAACAATAAATCGAGAAAAATGATTTGTTTTCTAAAAATTGCCAGACCATCTTGGTTTATTGTCTGGATTCTAGGAAAAATCATATTTGAGCAGAAAAGAAGGTTTAGATATTTATTTGTGAATAAATCTTTTTATGACATATTTGAAAGCTTTTTAACAACATACTTTGATCATCAAACATCTAAGCTTGAAGATCATCACATGCATGTTGGTTTTTGGGTGAAATACTACCACCATCTTCATAAAAATCATGTTTATGAACATATGATTCATAATCCATCCATAGAATGGCGTAGAAGTAGAAAAATATGCATGAAATGGTGAAATTATGAGTGGAAATGAAGGGATAATGCTTGGATTTTGTGATTACCTTAAGAAGAACACTTGAAGAAGATGCTTTTTGGTGTCTTGAGACTCATTTTTCTGGAAACATTTCGTGAGTTTGGAGGGAGGATGAGAGAAAATGGTGGTGGAGTGTGAGAGAGAGTGAAGAGAGGGAGATGGAATGAAGAAAGGATAAAATGATTGAATTTTTTTTGGGAAGAGTGGGAGGAGAGAGAGGTCCGAATTTTAGGGGATATAATGCCCTCTCTCTCTCTCTCTCTTTCTCTATAAAATTCAATCTTTTATAAACATATCTAAGTTGTTTTTATAAATTATGCATCATAACCTAGTTTTTACTCATAAAACCTTGATTTTTAGCTTATAAATTAAGGATAAATGTTAATGATTTAATTTTTATTTTCCTTGATTATATTTTCCTGAAATTAATTATTTTAAATTAATATTGTAATGTTCATAACATATTTATGGAGTTTTAGGTGTTAAAGTTTATAAATTTGAGATTTTAGGGCTTTTAGGGTTTTTTTTTCAGATTTTGCTAAACTTTAGATATCAAGCTATATAGAATTTAGGAGGCATCAAATTATTTTTGAGTCTTATAACTCTTTTATAGTTATAAATAATGTTTATAATTCCTTTTTTTCGGTTTATTAGCATTTCTATGTAGTGGTTCTGAGATTCAAAGTGAAATTGAGGAATCAAGTATACTAGTCCTAGTTTTCAACTTTGACTTAAGATACTATGAGACTCTGAACTAATTTCTACTTCTACGTCAAGTGCATTATGTATGTATATGATTCATGATAAGGTGTTCAAGTCAAGGAATGACATGAATTTGAATAGGTGTTACAGTTAAAGTAACTATAGAAGTCATGTATCAATGTGAAATCTAAGTACACTATCCATCGTTTCTAATTGTTTCCAAGTTTCTAGTAGGTTATAATATAGGTCCTAGTTACAAAGTCTAGTATGTGTTGTGCCTATATGTGCAACTAAGTTTATTCAAATCTAGAATTGTCTCAAATTTTGACGGTTGTCACAATTATCATATTCCAGAGATGTGAGACGTTGTTATTGCTGATATTCCCAAGATGCAGACTTCAACGTTTGTTACTTCTGATCCAAAGAACTTCTTAATAATGGGTTCACTTTCTGATCATGTTATCTAGGGTTCTTGCTGATCATCCTATGATTGTTGAATATTTGAAGACTATGGTTTCTACTGGAGATGTTGGATCTAATTTAATTCGTGAATAAGAAATTGCAAAGAAGCCATTAAAAAGTTCTAAGCGGAGAGGGAAAACGATTGTTTCTAAGAAATCTAAAAAGCAAAAGAGGCGAAGGCTTTCTGAAATACTTGTTGAAGAAGAATCAAGTAAGCATACTGCAAGTCTTGATCATAATGAAAAGGATTCTACTCTCAACAATGAAGAAGATTCTGTGAACATTCGGCTGAAATCCACAACTGTTTCAGAGCCAATTCAAACTCCTCTTGTCTCATCACATATGGAATTTGAAGCAGAAAATTATAATCATGCTGTTGATCATCCTTTTATCAATCTTTGTTAAACACCTTCTTGGGGCCAGTCCTAACATATATTAGGCTCAGGGCGAGAAGAGAAATAGGGCCCTCAAAGTAAAATATAATAAAGATTTGAAAAAGAAAACATCGATAAAAAAAGTAATAATATCATCAATAACACAAATATAACCATAATATTTGCAAAAAATGACATATTTAAAGGATCAATTTATCTAACATATCTTTCTCTATACATAATATTATCAAACCATTCAATATTTCTTCTGTCGTTTTCTTTAATAACTTGAGCTTTGAAAAGATTCTCTATACAAATGCAACAGTAACATGAATGGTTAATAAGATGCTATATGCCACAAAAACATTTGGATAACAATCACTTTGATTCAGAAAAAATATAATTTGATACAACATCTCATACATTGTCATTACAAAAAAAAAAGTAGCAGAAAACCTTATGAAACATTTTATGATTATCAATAACTAAAAACTATTTCAAGAAATGAATACACCCGATTTCTATCTCAAATTAATGGAAGCCTAATATGAAATCAAGCTGCAAAAGAAAATCAATAACAAAAGTCATAAGAAATGATAGATAAAATAAAATAAAAAAAATCTGATAACCTAAAATTTGATAAACATATTATCTTATCAAGTCGGAAATCTAATATTTGAAGTTGAAACTCTAAAAGAATCAAAATAGAAACAAATATCAGAATATTGCAGAATATTTGGAACAAATCATAAAACATTTTACCTTAATGTGTGAAAAAATGAAACTTAGGGCATTGCATTTCACTGTTTCTCTAATAATCATCTTCAGAGATATCATGTACAAACAAAAATTATAATCTTTCAAAAAAAGAAATCTGATTTACTAACTTAGATTGATAAGAAAAAAATTAGAAACAATAATCCTAAATAAAAAACTGATATATAAATCTATAAGCTTTCAGAAACAAAAATCATACCTTAAAGTTATCTAGATAAGTCTTAACGATTCTAGAATCGACATAAAGTCAAAAGAGGATGGCCTATTCAAGAATCGAGATTGAGAGGAAGAAGTGGAATAGCATATTGTGAGAGAGTTTGAGAGAAACGAAAGTGAGAAGCAAATTTTGAGAAAAAATAAAGTGGAAAGCAGAAGAGAAGTCAATTGTAAGTGTAAGAGAGAAGAGTAGATGACGATTCAAGAAAGAGAGAATGGTGATTCTTGAAGCGATAGTTGAAACGTTTCTATGTTCTGATATTGCAGTGGCATGTGACATCGTAATATCGATGACGCACGAGTTCCCACCTGATGTAGATGACCATTCAGTTACCATTATCGATGATGTCGATTGAATTCACAATGCGTCTTAATTCCTGCTTTGGAGCTTCATTCATTCTTAACCTTTCATGAAGTGCGTTCTTGTAGTATCGATCATGCCAATTTCTTTATTTTGTTGGGCTAATTTGAGTTTGGTCTAAATTGGGGATTAGGAAATTGGGTCCCTAAGAAATATATACATAATTGTTTATATGTATATAATATATAGGCCATAAATTATGGGCCCCTTAGAGACGTAGACCTAGGCGGTCGGCCCTGCACCTCGTACTCCACCAGTTATTTCTGCTTCTTCTCAATCCATTCGAATTCCAACAAGTTCAACTTTTTCTCCTTTTTCTCAGTTTTCAAGAAAACCTTTTGAGATTCCTATTTTTACTGAGGCAACTGTTACTTCTATATTACAAACCACAACTTATACCGAACCTCCACCAGAGGCATCTACTTTTGACTCCCATAGGGATGAGAATAGAACCTCACGCATCCCTGGTAACACATCTGATTAAATATTATTGTGAATTTGTCTTAGCCAGAATTTGCTTCTACTCCACCTGTCACTGATGATTTTGAAGAAGAATTCTCATGAAATGTTATTCTTATTCAAATGATGAGTTTTTCACAACTGGATTTCCGTTTCATATGGAAAATGATGATGATGATGATGATGAATATGATGATGATTATGATGATGATGATGATGATGATGATGATGATGATGATGATGATGATGATGATGATGATGATGATGATGATGATGATGATGCTCCGATGACTAAAGGTGATTTCCGCAAGCTGAAGAAGAAGTTAGATGAAATTCTTTCTCAATCTTCTCCTTTCATGAATACGAAGTATGAAGAGCTGATCTCTTCTCATCAAGAAACAATTTAGAAGCTTGTTCAAGAAAATGATCATAACTTTCACAACACAAGAAGCTTGTTGATGATTTTGCTAAACTAGTCAAGGAAGTCAGTTCGCAAGTCTCCACGATTCTCACATAGGTCAATTCTATTAAAACAAAGCAAGAGGCTTTCATGAATTCATTTCTGACACCTTTTGATACAAATGTTGCTGATATGAACAAGGTGATTCACAATTTTCAGACCTCGTTGCAAAATGAAAAGTAAGCCTTGTCTGAACTTCGCTTTGTGTTACAAAAAGATAATGCTGATCATCACACATTTATTGCGAATTCCATTCTTACTGTACAGACAAGTCAGGCTCATGAAAACAAAATAATGGATGCTCTGGCTGATTCAACTATGAAGATCAAAGTTCTTAGGGAACAATTAAAGTCTCCTGCTTTTCATCTTGGCAAAGCTAAGAAAGAGCTCATGTTGGTGAAAGGGCAAGATTTTTAGATAAATCAACGATTGGTTAAGATTGTTAAAACAAAAGATGCTCCTTATTAAGATTACATTTTGCAGCTCATGGATGTTAAGCTCAAGCATATTCTCGTAAATTTGAATGATGTTAAGTGTAGAAAGTCTACTTCGCAACAAGGGGGAGAAGAAGGGTGATTCTAGAAGTCAATATCAACAATCCTTAGCAAACTGGTCTTATGGAAAAGAACAATGAGAAAATCCATTTGGAGAAGAGGTATTTGGAAGAAAAAGTGAAGAATTTAAGGGAAAAGAAAACTGGCCAAAAGGGTAATGAAGCTTTTGGTTCGAGAAAAGGAAAGGTGGAAATTGTATCTGATAAAATAGATAAGTTGAATCCACCATTGACTAAGGAGCAACAAGTTGATCAAGCGAAACGTGATGCATTATTGGATGAGCTTAATGCTTTGAATGCAAAGTTTAATGCTGAGGAAGCTAAAAAGAAGAATGTTGAGGCAATCCTTGCGAACAAGAAAGCTTTATTTCCTTCTTGGTCGCTTGAAGGAATTGAAGAAGAAGGTCGTAACAATCCAAAGCTTTATTGGCTAGAACCTCAAATCTCATTCTCTGTTAAAAATGATGTTGATTTTCAAATGGACTTGCCCAACGAAAGCCTTCCAATTTTGTTGTTTTGAAAGTATTTAGAAGGTACCTATAGGAAACACAACAATCATCAGAAACTTGTTCAACTTTTATGTGAAGCATTCAAAACCGCAATACAAATCTTGGAACATAAAGAAGATTGTTGGTCTGAAAGTTGGGAAGTCACAAAAGGTTGATGATTTCGTAAACATTCATTTGAAAGATGTTCATGGTAACAAGCATGAAGTTGGTGAATTTACTCTAGCTGATCTTCCAATGATGCATCCTTTAGATTGGATTTCAGTTCGCAACATCGTTTCAAGAGAATTTATCAAGTATGAACCTGTATTTTCGAATATGAAGAGGTTGATAAAAGGGTATATCATTGAAATCGCAAAGATGGATGTTGAAATCTCATCTGTTTTGAATAGAAGGCCTATCGTGAAACCAATGGATCCTCCTGAAAATCTTGATTCTGTGAAGGTCAGGTTCATTGAGAATGAGAACTAGGGAGTGGTTTTCAAAGTGAAAGAAAAATGAAGTTCAGAAGAAGTGTATGTTTTATTTGATTGATAACCACTTGTATTCTATTAAAGACGATGCCGGAACTGTTTGATTTTAAAATGAAACTAAAAGTAAAGACAACTGAAGCAAAGTGACACAAAGGGAGAGATTGTAGAGTTCATAGTTTTTTTGTGTCAACTTGTAATGGTTTGTTCGTAATGTCTTGACTTTGTGTGACTTATGTTGCGATCTCGCACATTTTGTTTCCTTAAGTTTGCAACCTACCTGTTTAATTGAGATGCCTTTCTTTTATTCCTGTGATGCCGATTTATAGGAATTTTGAATAGAAGAACAGGTAAGAGTTTTGCTGATAGAATAGTTCTGTATGTTGTATCGAATTGTTCTGTCTTGCTCGTTAATGAAACTGAAATCTTATTTACATCGTGTGTTCTTGTGAATCGTATCATTGTTTGAATCGAGAATCTAAATGTTCCTTCAACTTGCTTGATTTGAAGACCAAGAAAAAGTTAATCTCTCTATTCATGCTTATTTGGAACTTTCTTGTCATGAGCTTGGCAAATTCGTCTACCATAACATGATTAGTTGAGCCGAAGATGATTTCATACACATAGAGTAATACAAGCATCAAATGCTTTTCACTCGAATATCGAAATAGGGTAGGATCAATGACCCCATGCTTGTATCCAGAATCAATAAGAAACATAGAAAGAGTTTCAAACCAAGCCTTGGGTACCTGTTTCAATCCATATACAGCTTTCTCCAATTTATAACAATAATGAGGAAGATCAAGATTCTCAAAACCTAGAGGTTGCTATAGATATACCACTTCTTTCAGTCCTCCATGGAGGAATGCGCTTTTTACATCCAATTGATGTACTTTAACAATTTTATGTGCCACATACACTATGAAGATGTGTATAGCCTCTAGCATCACAAATGGAGCATATGTTTCATCGTAGTCAATTCCTTCCAATTAACTATAACCTTTTGCTACAAGTCGGGCATTGTCTTTGATTACCACACCTCTATCATCCAATTTTTTGCAAAATACCCAACGAGTTCCAACAACGGTATATCCTATTGGCTTACAATCGATTTTCAAAAACTTGTTTCTCTCAAACTCTACAAGCTCCTTTTGTATCACAACAATCTAGTCATGATCCAAAAGGGAATCTTTAATGGTTTTGGTCTCAGTTGATGACATGAATGCCACGTAGTGACAATGCTTGGTTAAGTCTTTGGAGGATCGAGTTCTAATACCAGCAGAAGGACTTCCTGTTATTTGGCCATGTGGATGATCTTTAGTCCGGATGTGTAGACGTGATAAATGATGTTCAACAGTTGCATTGAATGGAATGTCTTCAATTTCGGGAGGCATTCCTCTTTGAACAACTTGAACATGTTCCCCCTTGATTTGTGAACATTCCCGCAGATAAGTCTTGAACTGCAAGAATTGGTTGTCTGTTGTTGATGAAGATTCCCCATGGACTGAAGTAGTGGGATTTATGGGAGCTTCACATGTTTCTATTTCTTCAACATCTTCCTTGGATTCTTCTAATTCTTCAGAGACCTACGATCAATTATGAACTACTGGAACAACTTCTTCTATGACTAGAACCTCGATGCTCGTGACTATTGTTGGATCAGAGGGCATGCTTTCCTCTCAACCGACAAGGTGGAAGTCATATGCGAGGAGTCTTAAAAGAAGGAGGGTCCAGAGTCTTCAGTATAGTGTAACTATGTAGAAGGTGAGACTAAGATCTTTGATATCACGTAGTATCAGGGTGATCAAAAAGAGTATCATAGTTAACTTCAACGATGTTGAGAGCTCCAGATTGGATAGGAATGTCATTCTCCATAATGAACTTTGTTTCTTTGATTGGATCAGTCTTCCGGACTTAGAAATCATCAAATTTCACATCGAAGCTTTCTTCAATTATTCTTTTCTTTGGATAAAAACGTTGTATGCAACTATGTTTGTAGAATAACCCAAAAAGAGTCATTCGTCTTCTTTAGGAACGAACATGCTTAGATGCTCTTTGTTGTTGAACACGAAACACCTGCAACCAAAAATATGAAATAAACAAACAGTAGGTTTACGATTGTTCAAGATTTCGTATGGAGTCTTGTTCAGGCGTTTGGTGATGATGCTTCGGTTCTGAACAAAGAAAGTTGCTGCAATTGATTCTGCCCAAAATTAGAGGGGTAGATTTGCAAAGTTGAGCATAAGCCCAACAACTTCTACAAGAGTTTAGTACTTTCTTTCTACCAAATCATTCTGTTGCGGTGTGTATGGTGCCGAGAAGTTTTGATTGATTTTTTTTTACACCAAGAATTCGTTCAGAAGTCGACTTGTGAATTATATTCCATTGTCACTTTGTATCTTTATAATGGGAAGCTTGATCTATAATTCAATTTCCGTGATGAAGTTGATCAAGGTCTGCGGCGTCTCTGATTTTTGTCCTAAGAAGAAAACCCAAGTAAAGTGATTATAGTCATCAACAATGAATAAAATTTACTTCTTATGACGAAGACTGACAACAATGGATGGACCATAGAGATCAATGTAAAGTAATTCTAAAGGCTCGGCTATTGAGGAATCTAAGATCAACAGATGACTTCCTTTCATTTGTTTTCCGCACTCATAAGCAGGGCATGAAGTGTTATGTTTAAACTTGAGGAGAGTCAATCATTGCACCATTTCTACAGTAACCAAGTTATTGATATACTGAAAATTAAGGTGAGCGTGTTTTCGGGGCCATAGCCAACTGACCTCGGAGACTGCTTTTAACAAAAAAAACAATTATGGCTTACCGATGACGAGAGAAATTTCTAATGGGAATATTGTTCCTAGAGCCTTTGTTTTAATTAGACATCGTGATCTATCTTTCGTCATAATCTAGTTTTACTCAGCATCGAGTTCAACACAATGAGCAGCTTTGCAGAGTTGCCCAACACTTATCAAATTGTGCTTTAGACCTTCAACATAGGTGTTGAGATTAAAACTCTAAAGATCTAATAGATTCAAACAGGAAAAAGCAATCAATCACATAATATGAATCAAGAATGTGTCGAATGATTAAAAGTCACAGCCTCATAAGAGCTCGATAAAGAACTGCTACTGTAGAGGCTATGTAGGGTTTACAATGACACGATTAACTGATACACAATGCATGGATGCATCTTAAATCTTACAACCCTAAAAGTAAATGACGGGTGGACAGGACCAACCCGGATACAAAATAGACTATACAAAAAGCCCATAAAGACGCAACACTAAATACCCAACAATCTCCCCCTTTGCGTCGATTGGGAGGAAGTCCTTCACTAATGAGTTCGGTTCTGCACTTCAAAGACTTTCAAAATTATGCTTAGTAGAACCTTGCAAACTTGGATATACCACTGAATCATATCCGAAAAGCACTTCTTGTCGCTTTTGATGTTCCCTTTGTACTTGCTTACGAAGTCCAAGATGTACTCCAGGAACGAAGTGATGAAAAGATGTTTGTCATTGAGAAAGAAACAAACTTTGTAAAAGTTTGCATCATTTCTCTCCTTCATTTGAAGGCCATGCACCATCCGTCCTTTCTTATTTTCCCTGGTTTCATTTTTTCAAAACCTTCAGGGGCTTCTTTAGGGAGTACCGTTGGCTTCCTTCGCAAAACATCTGCTATTTAGACATCCCTTTTTCCAACTTCTTGAATGTACGAAACTAGAATTCGTTTGAGGTGAGAAACAACATGCTCGTACTTTTTTTTTTCATCCCTCAACAGCATGTTGTACAGCATTATCCAATCATACGGGTTCAGGCATGGAAGATCAGCAAGAGTAAACTCATACACCTGACTCATTGAACCTCTAGCAACCTTAAAGTTTGCATTGGGGAAGCTATCAGTTTCGATTGGACCAACAACATTGACAGTAGTGATCTTGTTCGCTCTCCAGGTCTCGTACTGCGGCTTCATGTGCTTTAGGTAGAACGAAAAGAGTAAGTGATTTGCACCATTGTCTGTTGGAGGGACATTCGCAACTTTGACAAAACTTCGAAACTTGAAGGCTTTCAGCGTGATCGAAGATCCAGTTGCGAATCTTGTGTATTTTGAAGATCAAAAGACCCAACTGGTTCCAACCAATATTGACTCGGCATATCAACAGCTTCGCTTAAGATTCGCTCCAAAGTCCATACTAGAAACAAAAGCTTTCGGCTTTCCCGTGTGACTTGAGCTTCGCGTTCGGCCTTTTCTTTTTCTTCTGCCTCACGAACAATTCTTTGTTGCTCAGCTATTTGAGCTTCACGATCTTTTCTTCTTTTGAGTTCATGTTCGTCGGGCTCTTCTTCTTCACTGTCATTGATTATTGGTTCTTCGTTGAGAAGTTTCTTTTTACCTTTCGACCCCAAAGCTACATTACCCTTCATTTCCTTTTCTTTCTTGGGCTTGACGGTAGGCTTGACTGTAGGTTTGGGGTTTTCCTTCTTGGATTGTTTCACGCCTTCTCCCCCTTGTTTCAGAATTGAGATTGATTCCGGAACACCTTCCAGTCTGTTGAGCATAGCGAATACTGGCCTTAGCTTTTCAGAGAGATGCTTATTGACTGTGATCATGATCATCGAGTCATAAGTCTCAATGATGTCCGAAAGCAGTGCATTCACATCTACTATACCACTTTGCGTTACGGCCTTTTCGGACAGCAGATCGTTGATTCGTTTCTTAGCATTCTCCAACTTGACAGTTAATGCTTTCACCTTTTCAGTCTTCGTTGCGAGAGCATCCATAATCTTACTCTCAGTAGCCAAGTCATCCTGAAGCTTTGTGATCTTCGATGAAATAGAGGAGTTGAGATCGAGAATGTCTATTTGGAGGCCAGTATGAACCTCTTCGAGTTTCGCCTTTTCCGTTCTAAGTGTAGATCCAAGGCTAGAAATAACTTTTTTAGCCTTCGCAGTATTGAACTCGAATGAGCTCTGAAATTTGCTCATGAAGGAA